TTGTCTCTTTGACGAGTTGTTGTGTGGTGCTAAGAATGGCGATACTCATTGACGATGCCGACTACGATGCGAAGCGTTTGGGAATGTACCACGTCCACGTTTCAACTTTAGAAATGATCATGCAGACAATGGACCCCGGACTAGGTGGGTTCCAATAAGTCTTCCTACCAATATGACCATGTTGCGAAAACAAGGTCAAACAAACTCTAAATCATTTAAATTAGACGTATTTACCCTATGTCGTTTAAGGTCATGTAGGACTGGTAATTGAATTTTCCCACAAATATATGAGTAAAGCTGAGGTTTTTATTGAATTTCACATAGCCTTGCTTTCCAAAAAAGTGTTCTTATCCAGAAAGGAGTGCAGTATCGGCCTCGCATAGGTCTTATCAACGCCCCAAGTGGGAGTCGAACCATGACAGTGTAGCGTGTAATCTCGACACTGTAACCCTTACGCCAGATTACCACTAGTGTCCTTTTGCCACAAGGTAATGTGAATTTCAAGGAATGCCATGCATTTTCCAATATATTCTTTTATGGGATTGTCCATAGCAAATATATCTTTGCTTCAGTGACAATTCCACCAAATGATATATGGGAAAATGCCTCACCTTCCTTGAAATTCACATCTGCCCTGTGACCAAAGGGCATTAGTGGCAATGTGGCGTAGGGGTTGACGTGTCGAGATTCCATTCTGAACTGTCATGGTCCAAATCCCAATAAGGGTGTTGATAAGATTTAGGCGAGGCCGAAATTGCAGTCCATCCTAGATTATAACACCTTTTGAGGAAGCAAAGCTAAGTGAAATTAAGGGTGAAACATCAGCTCTACTCATATCATTGTGGAAAAATTCAACTAATCTTAAACGAAATGGGGTGAGTACAACTTATATAAATAAGACAATCTTTTTGTCTTAAAAACACATACATGCCTAGACAGTGTTAGTGAAAATATGAAGAGTAACCCAAATTAAATACTTCGGTCAGGCTCTTACTTGGCAAGTCCATTCAGTTAAATGAATAAAATTCATTAGACCTATACGAGTGTTTTCGTCCACGAGTACTCAAGTGATGGATCAACACTTGTGACGCGCAAAGGACATAAAAAATATCGCAAGAATAAAGATAAAGAGAATTTAGCACAAGTGATGAATTCGACTCTATTAAGAATAGATTGGGCTGCAGATGGCATAAAGTGACAAATTGAGAAGGAAAGATGAAAAGTTACAGCAAGGATTTGCAGTACAATATAATTTCAAATAAAGAAGAGTTTCTTTACATTCCACCTGCCCCTTCCCCGTTCCTTGGTTCCAGATGGTTGCGAAGTTAAAGCCTTCTGGTCGGTGCCCCTAAATGGCCTTCTGCTTCGTGTGCCACGCGAGCCGCGTCTACCACCTCCTGAACCGCGATCAGGCTTAAGCTCGCACGTCATTGCTCTTATGCGTTCTAACTGTAACCGACGGCGTTCAGTCATAGCCGAACGGGTGCTGAATTCGCCCGTATAGGTTGTAATTACGCTGCTACCGCCTCCCGTCGAGGAAACTCCGGATCCAGTACCGAGACCGCTACAAGTACGCCCGCTATCCTCACAGATAGAGTTTGCCGAGCCCGCAGCAGATGAATCAGGAAGGCCTGAAATGGGATTGCCGCTACTGCTGATGTTGGATACGCCGTGTAGAGAGTGCAAAGACCCCGAAGATGCAGAGGCGGCCAAACTAGCCTTGGTGTCAAGGGTCTTGTTAATGCCAATCTCACTTGCCAGCTCGATGCGGCTTTGACGCTGGCTACGCTGGCGAGCGACCATCATTCGCCCATAGCGAAGCGTCATAAGCCAGTCCTTAAATTTGTGCAGAAAAGTATGATTTAGAAACTAAGATATTGCGGCTTTTTGCAAACTGGAAGTCTCTTTCTGAAGTAAATTTTTGGCTTTACATGGTATCATAACTTTGTCATATTTAGTAAGGGACTTCAAAGAATTTAGCAAATGCTGTGTCCGTTACTGTGATATTCAGGCATTTTTCTTTGGTAGGTCATAATAGAATTAGTCTACCGATTAAGCATTTGCAAGATTCCATGATATATCTAATCGTCGAAAAATTCGAAAGGATAAACAGTGCCTAGAAATTATCTCAGGGTTATAACCATTATGAGGGCAATGGATAAAAACACAATCAAAATGCAAATATCCAGGTAGAATAGTGTAAGAAGTGGGTTAACTTAAATGCTTTCGTGGGAATTAAATTTTTTAAACCTAATCATATACTCTGGATTTAGAAAACTTTAATGAAAAAAACGTGACAATGTGAGCTATTTTAAGAATGAGGTTTTTCAATCGCAAATGTAAACATTTATAGCCTCCATTTCGGTGACATGATGCATCCATTAAATAAAGTGAGGACATGAAAAAGCTGTGTAAATATAGGAGCGTGTAAAAGAGATCAACTTTGCCCTCATACTGATTAAAAAGCTCCCTTTGAGAAAAATCCGCTTCGAAGAATAAATATAATAAAAGAATGTGAGTTCTGTCTAGAGTAAATAATAGGTCTTCTGATAATAGGGGATTAACTGACGATTCATTGAATCATTTTCCATTTTTATTCTGAATATCCACAAGTATAGGACAAATTTCAACTAAAAGTATGATATATAGGAAGCATGACAATAAGGAGAGCCCTCTATTATCTTTAAATGCAGTCGGTATCTAGTTTAAAAATTATACCACTTTATTTTGCTGCTTGATTCGGCATCCAAATAAGTGGCAGAACTATTAGATTATTTTGTCTGATAAAACCACCCAAGTAATGCAAAAAATCTTTAGCCTCATAATAGGAAGATTAATGTTAAACTGAAGTAGTTTTATAAATGAAATTGAATATAGATATGATTTAGTTAAATTGCGTAGAATATCAACGTCGAAAAAAGAGCCTACTTATCTAATTTCACTTAGG